CCCGTGAGTACCCACCGCGACCTTTGACCCCTCTGCTGTTTTTGGCCTGGGACAAGCAGAGTGGGGTTTTTTTTTTTGTGGATGTTATGAGCTCTCTGTTGTGGATATTTAAAGCTTTCTAGCTAATTATCGGAGTTTGAATCTGGATCTCCAGAGAGAAGTTTCTTCTTTATTTATTTATTTATTTATTTATTTATTTATTTATTTATTTATTTATTTATTTATTTATTTATTTTTATTTATTTATTTATTTATTTATTTATTCATTTTATTTTATTTTCCAGCTGTAAACATCAACTCCAATCATCTTTCAATTTAAGACCGAGCCCTTTTTCAATAAGGAAAAAGGGCCTATTGATGTCTATATATTTTATTTTATATTAATAGGATTATACAGGAATATAGTAGTGTTATACTTTTTATAGTACTTTTACTTGATGCTTTTATATTATTTTAGTAAAATAGAAGACATTCTCACATTTAATATTTATTTTGTTTATCTTATATTTACTTTTGACACACAGGTGACATTTTATGTTTTGGCCTTTGAGTTACAAAATAAAAAGCTCAAAACTAAGTTAAAAATAAAAAGAACTCAAATGAAAAAGCAATCCCTTGAAATTAGTCGTTAAGATTAGTCGACTAATTGAAAAATTAGTCAAAATATGACTCGTTAGTGGCAGGCGTAGATCCCATTTGAGTATCGAACATTTTAGTATCGTGACAAATTTCCAAAATGAAGCTTTTAGTGGTCTGAATCAGTTTGTTTGCTGCCCTCTTCCTTCCGGGGCCTCAGGAGGGTCCAGATCCAGATCCCGGCTCTGATAAAGGAGCAGGATCTCCATTAAAGCTTTAACGTAAACACAGAATCAGCCCCGCGGCAGGAAACGCACGTTTCCAAGTTAGAGACCATTAGAAAGAGAAGAAAGAACCAAGCCAGGAAGGAAAGAGCGCCCTCCTTTTTTAATCTGCTGCTAAATGAGCTGTAAACATCACCTCCAACCAGCTTTTTAATATGAGACAGAGCGGCCTTTTTTGGAGGGTTTTTTCCCACATAAATGTACATTTACATGTAATAAATGTACATTTACATGTACATTTTATGTGTTTTTTACTTCAGAGTCCAGCTTTGAACATCACCTCCAACCAGCTTTCAATAAGACACCTTTTTGGGGGGTTTTTCCCACATAAAGTTACACGTAAATGTACATTTACGTGTACATTTACATAGAATAAATGTACATTTACATGTACATTTATGTGTTTTTTGCTTCAGATACCAGCAGTGAACATCACCTCAAACCAGCATTCAATATGAGAACTTTTTAGGGTTTTTTTCCCACATAAATGTACATTTAAATTTACATTAACATGTAATAAATGTACATTTACATGTAATAAATGTACATTTATGTGTTTTTTGCTTCAGACTCCAGCTGTGAACATCATATACCATCAGCTATTAATATGAGACCTTTTTGGGGGGGTTTTCCTACATAAATGTACTTTTAAATGTACATTTACATGTAATAAATGTACATTTACATGTACATTTTATGTGTTTTTTACTTCAGAGTCCAGCTTTGAACATCACCTCCAACCAGCTTTCAATAAGACACCTTTTTGGTTTTTTTCCCCACATAAATGTACATTTACATGCAGCAAAAACACATAAATGTACATTTACATGTACATTTATTTGTTTTTTGCTTCAAATTCCAGCTGTAAACATCACCTCCAACCAGCTGTAGATATGAGACCTTTTTGGGGTTTTTTTTCCCACATAAATGTACATTTACATGTAATAAATGTACATTTACATGCAGCAAAAAACACATAAATGTACATTGAAATGTACATTTATGTGTTTTTTTGCTTCAGATTCAAGCTGTAAACATCACCTCCAAACAGCTTTCAATAAGAGACCTTTTTGGGGAGTTTTTCCCACATAAATTTACATTTACATGTACATTTACATGTACATTTACATGTACATTTACATGTAATAAATGTACATTTACATGTACATTTATGTGTTTTTGCTTCAAATTCCATCTGTGAACATCACCTCCAACCAACTTTCAATATGAGACCTTTTTTTTGGCGGGGGGGTTCCCACCTAAATGTACATTTATATTTAATAAATGTACATTTATGTGTTTTTTGCTTCAGATTCCAGCTGTAAACATCACTTGCAACCAACTTTCAATATGAGACCAAGCCCTTTTTTTTTCAATAAGGAAAAAAGGCCTATTTATGTCTATATATTTTTCTTTTATATCAATAGGATTATACAAGAATGTAGTACTTTTACTTGATGCTTTTATATTATTTTAGTAAAATAGAAGACATTCACATTTTTGCACTTAATTTTATTTATTACATTTTATTTTATTTCTTTAATATTTATTTTATTTATGTTATGTTTACTTTTGA